ACAATTTCATTGCGAAGCAATAGTAAAATTACAGCCTATATTTACGTACCATCGCTAGGCACAGGCCTCCTCTAGTTAGGGAGTAATATATTAGCCGCGCAGCCCCCAGTGCGTGTGGCGTATTACAACATATCTTCGAATTATTTTTATTCCTCAGACGTGTAGATTTCCTCACGATGTTTTCCTTCACCGTCAAGCACGCACAAGCACGCTAGTATGCCGCGAAGGAACCCGCAACAATATGTATTCTAACAATAAGTCCTGTATTTGTACTGTAGTGTAGTCGTCCACGCAAGTTATCGTAGGTACAGCAGACCCATGTCCTAGGATACGATGTTCTTCCACCGTAAGTAGACAAAACATGCAGTCATCCATTTACGGCATCCATTTACGACACAGAAGATTGTTTACATTTGTAACATAGATGTTAAATAAATGTTTATTTCAAAAGTAAATCCGACTTCTAAAGCGAATTTTTTTTTAAATTACTACCACCCAAGGTCATTGTATTACAAAATGTATCAAAGAATGACGAGTAAAGCCTCGAGTTCAGAAGCTATTTTATGGAATATTTTTTTGGTTGGTTTATAGAATCGGTTTTTATATTTCACTTAAAGTCTAAAAAAATATTTAAAACATCTGTTTAACAACTGTGTACTTATACACTGTTTAAGCTGTGGATAAGAGTTACACACGCTCTTTACCAATAACAGATATGTAAGAGTTGCATAGTTAAAATGTGTGTAAGTAATGTATGTATGTCGTATAATAAAAGTATAATAAAATTATAAAATTTTCAAATTATGAAATTAAAAATAACGATCTTTGTTTAAAGCATCTATTTATTTTTTATAGGTTATAGTGAATAAAATATATATTCTGTATGAAATTATATAATAATATATTATATATATATATATATATATATATATATATATATATATGTGTGTGTGTATGTATATATGTATGTATATATGTGTGTGTATATGTATGTGTATGTATATGTATATATTACAAATTGCAAACTAATTTTAATATACCTACGATTATATAAAATATAATAACGACTAAAGAGTCGCATTAAGTTAAAGAATATGTTTCGTTGTAAATAAATACATTCAAATAGCTAAACAGTTACTTAAAAATGTTAAGCTTAGTTACTTAATTAATTGTTAATATTAAAATACTGTTGTCACAAAACTGGGAGAGCCCGCTGATCCCTAAGATACAGACTTGTCTAGTTTAGGGATCAGAGTCTTCACTTTATTATTGTACTTTTATTTAAATAAATGATTATTATTATTATTATTATTATTATTATACACTCACTAAAAGAAAAACCATTGGCAACATTCATCAAAAACGTTTTGAAACTAAATTGTCAAGTTATAGAAACATTTTGAAAACACATAAACGGCTTATAAATTCTCTTTTCTGCCGACTTCCAAAAAGAAGACGGTACTCAATTCGACAATATGATATTTTTATGTGTGTTACCTCATAACTTTTTACTGGGTGAACCAATTTGGATGATTCTTTTTTTATTTGAAAGCTGGTACTTCTCGTGTAGTCCCATATGATTTTATCATAGTCAGACCAATAGTTTCTGAGTTATTCTTAATAACGCATATTGAAGTCGGCTGTACAAAATTTTTAATTTTAAATTATTAATTCCAGAGATCTATTACTATTATTGTAATTAATAACACATACATTTAGCCCAAAACATTGTTAAATTTAATTTAATAATAATCTAATGTTCTTATGCGATAAAAACTAAACATTATTTTGACAAAGCCATATTTATCATCGTAATAAGTTTATGAACGTACCTTTCAGAGAGTTTGCAATTCAATCGTCAATTTGTTGTTTGTATTTTATAATTCGTTAGGAAGCTACTTCATTTTTAAAAACTTCGCTGTAATTAGGTAATAATGGCTAATAGTAATGGAAACTTTGTCAAAAGAAAACGGTCTGAAAATTGGGATGCATTAGAAAAGGTAATATTGAATTTTACTAGAAAAAATATTTGCAACTACTGTTTCCCAATATGGTCACCATTTGTAATCGAACTTTGTATATTATCTTTCAGAGTTTATTAAAAAGTTGTACGAAGGAGTTTGTATAGTAGTGTAGTTGTACCACTTCTAGACCACCTGAGTCAGACGTGGTTCAACGACGTTCGTCGACGCCCGATCCTAAAAAAAAAAAAAAAAAAAAAAAAAAAAAAAAAAAAAAAAAAAAAAAAAAGGTTTTGGCATGCTCTGATCACGAATCCGCGGTCCATTTTTGTGTAGAATGCACGGTTCCGGAGATGTGTAGATCAATTAGCTAATATCTAATTGATATCCGGTAAGGGCCTCCACCGTCATTAGCGTCCCATTGTTCCTATTTCTATTGTTCTATTGTTCATTAATCACCTTCATTGCAGCGTGTGCGTCGACTATATCAGTGCTATTGTTTATTATAATTCTTTGTTTATACAACGCTAATCTGAATCATCAATAAAACACATTACATAATTTTGTTACAATTTTTATTTATAAAATACAAAATCTTATTAATTATTATCTATAAAATAGGAGCGAAACATCTCATCCACTAAAATATCGTTGTACAATGTGTTCCTTGTAAATATACTCGTAAAACTATGTATTGAACATCCTTGAAACTTATATAGCAAATACATTAAGCAATATTCGCCACAAACTGAAGTCCACTCATTCTGAATCCTATCAACATTCCAGTTCCATCTTTTACAATTCCTTTTTAAAAACTCTACATGATATCGTACAGGTGATCGTCCATATGAATCAAAATATTGACCGACGTCATTCGTATCGATATATAAAGCTACCCAATGTGACCCTGGTTTATCATCTGTATCCAAATTACATATTATATACGTTGGTACGTGGGTATACATAGGCAGTCTATTAGCTGCATAAACATTATTTTCTAGACTGGGGTGAATCTTTTTCAGATGTTGTTGTACATCTAGTGTATCCATGATATTACTGCTATTAGTAGATTATTACAGTACCTAGCTACTCAATGAATAACATAGGAATGGTCAATTATAGTGATTTCTACATATTAAATTGCATTTTTGTGATATACAAATCGTACTTGAGTCATTGATCACCAAACAAAACACAATACGAAGAAATGTTGAGATAGGCAACGGAAATGTGAGATAAACTGATATGTTTCTAAATATTAAATTGCATTTTTGTGTTATACAAATCGTACTTGAGTCATTGATCACCAAACAAAACACAATACGAAGAAATGTTGAGATAGGCAACGGAAATGTGAGATAAACTGGTTGACGCATAAAGTAATTATCAACTCATTACGGAAATACTTTAGATTAGAATTTTTACGTACTGGTGGTATATAAGACCAACAAATGCAGTCATCGAGTTAGTGTACGGTCGTTTGGCTACAGTGGATCTATCAATAGTACATTTGTGTTACTTCAATACACCAAAGGCTATGGATGTAAGTGTTTATTCTATTGACTAAATTACTTTTTTTCTGTTATTTTCATGTGTGTGTATTATTTTATTTAAATATTGTGTATGTATATGATTAAGCCGTGGTAACTCAGATGGTTAGCGCTAGCTGTAAATTTCACAGTACGCGACACGGGTTCGATCCCCGCCAGCACCAATTAAATTGTTAATAGCAATTTTAAGTGCTTATTACCACGTGCTTGGTGGTGAAGGAAAACATCGTGAGGAAACCTGCATGTCTGAGAAAATTTCGAAGGCATGTGAAGTTCGCCAACACACATTGAGGGAGCGCGGCGGACATTTCCTTGCTCTAAAACCCTCTCAGAAATGAGAGGAGGCCTATGTTCAGCAGTGGACTTTAATAGGCTGTAACTTTAACTTTTTTAACTTTTATGATTAAGTGTTAACAAATTGATATTAACATGATAACTGTGTTGTTGCAGAAATCATTGAGCTTCGATGAAGATACCTATAAACAGTATTACTACTCGCCACTCTCCCCTCAAGAAGAGAGTGATAACCTCGTCATTAATAATAACACATGCGATGGTGGAAAAAGAAAATCGCAATCGATTGATCATTTTTTTGAAGCTGAATCAAAAATAAAAAAGAGGAAGCTGTTATCATCAACCGTAGCACGAGCCGCTAGAGATGGTGTATCATACATTTCTACTAATTCTGACGACGGAGACCAAGCGACGCATCTCATCAAAATTGAAATGTACGATATGAAGAAGCTATCCAAGATTCCAACTACTGATCATTGGAAACATGCTTCCACGAGAATTAAATATTACGTAAAGACTAATAAGGATAGCATCTACGACAATACAAAAGCCCTCGTATACAATATAACAAAGACAATAGCAGAAAGTGAAAAAGTTAAAAAATACTTTTTTAACAATGACAGTCATTAGCTGATCATTAGTGAATGTGATTCTGTTTACTTCAATTACAGGAAGACAAGAGCGGAAGGAAGAGATGAGTGTGGCATACGTGTACAAAACACATCATTGAATAACAAAACTACAACACTGAGTGGAGAAGAAAACGAGAAGAGTATGCAGTACTCAAGAGCTGAATATCCATTCTTCAGTTCAAAATCTAGCCGTTTGCTTAGTTTCGAAAACTGGCCTCTAGTTATGCGACAGAAACCTGAAGATCTTGCCGAAGCTGGTTTCTTTTATACTGGCCATGCAGACGGGACCAAGTGTTTCCATTGTGGTGGTGGTTTAAAAGATTGGGAAGATGATGATGATCCTTGGCAGCAGCATGTTCAGTGGTTTAGTCAGTGTGCTTATGTAAAATTTCAACTCGAACAGTGTTTTGTATTAGATTAAATAGAAGATTTATAAAGAAATAAAAAAAATATATTGCATACAATTTGTTTTATTTAATTTTATAACGTTTCACATAGTTACATACACACAAAATGCATTACACATAACACATAAAATCTAACACACAACACATATTATAACCTTAACTACTATAGTCTACAGTAACATTTCTGTTTTTATCTATCTCAATAATATTATCAAACTCAGCATAAACTATACAGTTAATTGTTTGTATTAATGAGGATTCAAATCGTACTTCTATTCTTACACTACCATGCTTTATGAGATTCCAATGAGTTGATGAGTTAGCTGATAAATCAGGAGTTAAGTCAAATGCTAATAGACAGTAACCTTTGCCATACTGTTCACAAGAGATTCCATTTCCTTCATTAAGAAAGTGAATACCAGTTCCCGAGAATAGAGTATGATATGCTGATGTAAATATGCTATTATTAAAAGATGGTTGCAAAGCTTTTGAAGGTATTTGTTGACCATCAATATATAAGCTGAAAGAATTAATACCATAGTTTTCAAAGTTAAATGGATTTTTAGTAAGGGAACCATTAAATGCAGAATTGTTCACAAATCCAATTATACATCTTTTCGGTACCTGTCCTAAAAATATATTATCAAGAGTTTTTCCTTGAACACCTGAAGGAATTGTTAAAACTTTTACTTCAGCTCGAGTAATAGGATATTTAGCAGTGGTAGAAGCTAAAACTTTTTGATGTGCGAGTAATATACTTGGATTAATTCGTGCTCGTCGCACAATAAGAGTTGCGTCCGTAATGCAAACTTTAAACTTTACATCGTTCGACCCAACAATTAAATTAAAACTCTCTCTTGATCGAACCAATTTAACACTCATTTCAACACCATTAATTAAAAATTTATCTTGGTTAAAAATGTCACCGTAAAGATGACCAATCATTTCTATTTCCTTACTTTCACTAATCAATTCCTGTCTTTTAACAAATCCTATGTTTTTACCATCTGTAGAATCCATTTTTCCTGCTGTATCCTCATACCAAAGACTACAAGTAAGATGAGATTGTTTAGCAGCAGGGGCATAGTTTAAAAGGGTTTCCATGTATGCTCGATATGCATAGGTATTATTAGGTGGTGATACAAGTTTTTGGTTTAAATAAACATCAAGTTGACTAAAAAGTGAATGCAGCCAAATTTACAGGTGCTACTATTGTAGTAGATACCAAGTTAGTTGAATCTTGATTTAATACTTTTGCCTTTATGTGGAGTAATGTATGAGACAAATCTATGTAGTCATCGCCGGTCCCAGGAACTTGAAACTCGATAGGTCCATCATCACCAAGAGATGAAATTGGTTTATAATGAATCCACAATCCATTTTCAATGCTAGTTTGTGTAGACGGTAGTGCAAACAAATCCAATTCTGACTTAACGCGCTCGCAAGAATGATTATGAAGGAAAGACATATTTAGTTTGAAAATATATCTTTGATATTTTTTGGTTTTAGACTAAATTTTTTCGCAGCTTTCACTTTAGCAGTTAATGGTGGAATGAACGATGTCAATCGTTTTCTTTTAGTTTTATACCCAGATCCAGTCATGTTAAATTGATCAATTTTCTCATCAGCCTTTCGTTTTAAATTCGTACTAACTTGCTTTAGACGATCTTTTATTGAGGCTTCCATAGGACGGGCTTGAACCATATCCGATAAAAGTCCTACTCCAGCGCTTAATGCCTCCTTACCAATCACTCGAGCACCACTTGAAAGTAAAGGTAAAACTGATCTGAATAACCCCCCTAAGAAGCTCCCAATACCATGACCGCGTTGATATGGTGAACCCTTATAAATTACTCCAACTCCTGATCCAGCTTGATGTGTATAATAATTTTCATATGGACATTTATGATGATCACGAAGAGAATTCATTATTATAATTTTCGGAAATGTAGTTTAATACACACGGTTCCAAACTGGAATGGTATTTTTTGTCCTGTACTCGATCTTATAACTATTTCCAACGTATCGAACTCTCTTCGCATAACAGGTAAGTAGTGAGGTTGAGAGAAAACGTGCATTTTATTTGCACCATAAATGTATTTTGTAGGATCTAATGAAATGACTCTTAATAAAGGAGTCATAACATCACCCACAATCTGAGGATCGATAATATCGCAATATAGAAATAGTTGAGATGGTAACCCTAAGTGTAAATTAGCAGGACACTTTCCAAAATTTCTCTCTAGGAGATTTTTATTTGGTTCATAACCTAGCTGTAAACTTAATTTGGGTGATAATGTTACGGATGTTATATTTTTATCCAATACCGAAATAGACACAAATTTTGTTATTTCATCATAGCGAAATTTCAAGTTCTCTCCGATACCATTTAACACTCTTAAAATATGCTCAACGTTATCATAGTTGGTAGCTGGAATATGTTTTTTGTAGTACACTGTGGATGGCTTATCTTCATTAGGCATTAACATAGATTTTGTAATGTATATAACATTTTCATGGTCTTGAACAGTAAACATGGTACATGGATATTGAAACTCGACAACTCCAACCGACCATTCACCTTCTAATTTTATAGCTTTTGGTAATTTCGTTGAAAAATTTGTGGTCTTGTTATCAGGAAAGTATTCCATTGAACTATTGCTGAGCAAAGTTAAATAGAAACTTTCTTTATTCATATTTCTTTTAAACTAGAAGCTAAAATCCAACTGTTAAATTTATCTGGATAACCTTTCCACTTCACTAATACTTCTTTTCTGTTACCTGAATAACGAGTGTCAATTATTTTATCTATTTTATGTTGTGAGGTGGGGTTGTAAGTGATTTTCTGTAATTCTCTTTCATAAAAAGTACCAATTATTGGTTCATTTTGTAAATCTGTTATTGTATAAACAACCCATGGAGATCTATCAATTATTGAAGATATAATAAATATTTCATCACTCCAATTTGATTCATATCCTTTTTGGAATACATGTTTATATTTAGTTATTCGAACATAATCACCCACATTGAAATTTGGTTTAGGATTTTCTAAAGAAAGTTTTTTTGACCGTCTGTCATAAAGATTAGTCCAAACTGTCATAATATTGTTGGAATTTACATCACATGGGCACATCTTAATACTAGAGTGAAAGCTGTGATTATAAGAGTATATTAAATCTTGTAAAACATCTATATATCTATAAGTATTATTATGAGTGAAATAACGCCACATTTTCATTTTTAGTGTTCTTTGAAATCGTTCAACAATACTGGCCTTAATGTCAGGATTGTTAGTGGTATAGTAATTAATCTTTTTGGATTTAAAGTATTTTTGTACATCTTTTGAAACAAATTCGGTACCTTTATCGGATTGTATGTGAGTAGGTGTTAAATTACTTTCAGTAAATATACTTTCAAAACATTCTTTAGTTGTTTCTGAGTTTTTCTTTTTCATTGGTCTTGCAAAAGCATATTTACTAAATACATCAATAATACAAAGTATATACTTGAAACCATCATTATATTGAGAATAAGTTCGCATATCACTTAAATCAGCTTGCCACAGTTCATTAATATTTGATAGAATGTACCTATTTCGCGGGAATTTTTTCGAATGGGTTTATGTAATGTGTATGTTTCTTGTGATTTTAACCATTCCTTTACTTGCTTTTTATTCATTTTACCCTTCATGGCTTTTGATAATTTATCAATACTACCAAAACAGCGGGATTAGATGGATCATAATAAATCCTGTTAATTTCTTCTAGTACGGAGTCCATTTTTCCCACTCAAGTCCTTTACGTATTTTAGTTGTAGACTTTTTATCTCTACTGCACGGTGTAGAAAACTCTTGAACTTCAATCTCAGAGGGTTTGTTCAGATCTTTTCCTTGAAGTTGGTTAATAAACTCACATCTCCTTGGATTTCCAATATAAGTAAGTGGTACTTTAATATCTTTTAATGCTTCAGCAAATCTAACCCACCCTACCGGATCACTTCTTTTTAGGGGTCTTAGTGAATCATTTATTAAATCAACAATATTACTTCCAGGAATTTTTTCACTATCAATTATGACTGTACCTTCGTTATCCCAATGTATTTTACTTTTACTTGTTTCAACTAAGTTTAATAATAACTGCCCTTTTTTATGATAAGTTTTTGGTATTAAACTGAGTATTTGAGCTGGTGTGTAAAGTGGATTTTCATCATTTTCTTTACTTTTAATGGATCGATTCTCCTCCAGCAAAGATTCAATATCAACTGAAGTTTTTAGATCTCTATCTTTATTTTTAAAACCAATTTTTGACTCATTTGAATCTTCATTAGATGTATCAGAATAAATTGGTAATTTGAGTGGTTGACGATCCTCTTCGGTAAAATGAAGGTATCTTTGCAGTGTTTGTAAATATAATATCCATTTCTTTCGGTCTTCCGTCTTACTATTCATAATATTTTGCATTTCAATATCTAATCGAGATAAATTACTATTAACCTTATTTTCTTGTTTTAATTTTTCAATCAATCCAGGTTCGATAAGTATCATTTTCTTTGCATTTTCCATGTTAACTGGCTAGTCCACTCACTAATCCACTCAATATTGCACCTAATATTGTTGGTAAGAAAGCCCCTCCTTTTTGTATAATTATATTTTTTCTTAGTTTATGTTTACACTTACGTACTAGTTTACGGAGTATGTTTTTATGTTTATTCAATTTTTGTTTATCCTGATCTTTAAGAGGTACTTTTCCTTGTAAAACGTTATGAATACACTCACAAATACAGTTAATTTCTTCTTCATCACACGTTTTAAGTAATGCTCTTTGATATTTTGGTTTAAGCGTATGCAAAGCGGTTAGCAAATGTTTATACGTTGTGAGTCGACGATGCATCATTTAGCAATGATTTCAATTGTTTGATTCTTGGTGTATTTAAACTCTTTTGTGGGGACGTAGACTGTACAGAAACCATTAAATGGAAAGACATTTGTCTTGATACGACAAAAATCATTGGTATTCTGTTTTAAATCTACCATTAAATATCCATGTGCCTCTAGAGTTGCATCCCTGTAGGCATTTTCAATGAATTTTGGGTTATCTGGTGATACTTGTCTTGCTAAATATCTTATTTGAGTTTTATCTCGAGGGTTTTTAAAATATATTATATAACTTGAGTTTAAAGATATGTCTCTTTGTCCTTTACCCTGATGAAATAAATTTTGTGTTAGATAAAATACACTAAGATTCCTGTGATGACTACCTTTTGTAAATATATCCACAATTCTTCCATCGGACTCTCTCATTAGATCATCAATAATAACAAGATGTGGGTTTTCACCATCAAACATATTAAGATTTGGAATTCCTTGATGATAGTTAACATTTGGTAAATTATATAATGGTTGCATTTCATCAAAGCACCATGTGATCTGATTAAAATCACAATTACATATTTCTGTAACTGATTTTATGAAATTTGTTACAAAATTTGACTTCCCACACCCACTTGGTCCTGCCACAATAGCAGTGAACGGATGGATAAAGTGAAACATAACACACGTCTAAAGTTCAAAGGGGTGAAATAAAAAATGAAAGTGTTGGTGTAAACAATTAATATATATTCCAAAAATTATATAAAACAGAATTATCTGTATACTATTTCTAAAACAATTAGTACATCATAATTTTACAATTAACTCAACCTCAAATAAATAGAAACAACAATTAGTACATCATAATTTTACAATTAACTCAACCTCAAATAAATAGAAACAACAATTAGTACATCATAATTTTACAATTAACTCAACCTCAAATAAATAGAAACAACAATTAACTTAAATTATTTACAATAAAACAATGTTTAAATATGTAATAAACTACGTCATATTATAGTATTATCATAATTTTACAATCAATATAAATTTTTCTTAAACGCAGACATAAAAGTAAAAACTATCAACACTTAACGCAGTTTATAATGACCCCAAGCTAATGTTTCAATATTATTATCTAAAATAT